GAGGAGGGTGGAGAAAACAGTGCAACAATGAATGAATGAAAACCCAAAATCTCTGTAAATGTTCATTAAAACTAATAAAATTTAATAAAAAAAAAACAAACAAAAAATGCTTGCAAGGTTGTGGAGAAACTGGAACCCTTATTCACTGTTGGTGGAATTGTAAAATGGTGCAACCACTGTGGAAGGCGGTGTTAAGCTTTCTCAAAAATTTGCAAATAGAGATACCATTTGACCCAACAATTCCACTACTGGGAATACATCCCAAAGAGACCATAACTGACATCCAAGCAGATATATGCAAACCCATGTTTATCACAGCTTTGTTCACAATAGCAAGGAGTTGGAAACAACCCAGATGCCCATCAACAAACAAATGGATAGAGAAGCTGTGGTATATTCACACAATACTACACTGCATTGAAAAACAAGGAACTCATGCAATATTATTCAAAATGGGTGACCTTGGAGGACATTATGCTGAGTGAAATATCTCAGTCAAAGAAGACAAATACTGCATAGTGCCACTGTTGTAAAACAGGACTGACCTCAGGGTTGGGGGGAGACTGAGAAAGATGGGTTCAGTCATGTATACTGCATTGAAACAGATGAGGGAGAAAACTGTTTAAAAGGGATATCTGATTAGGTATTTTTGTCATGACAGGAGTCCAGAGTGAAGGCTGTACAGTGGAGTGGACCTGGGGGGAGGGATTGTAAAACAATGATAAAATTTTTCTTCTATTTTTCAAAGAGAAGAGTGTACTGGGGGGAGGGGTGAGCAGGGAGAAAAGTGCAACAATGAATGAATGGAAATCCAAAGTCTCTGTAAATTTTCATTAAAATTAATAATAGTAAAAGAATTAAAAAATACAAAGAGGTATTAACACCACATAATGTCAGAAAGCTCAGGGGAACTCTGGTGGCCTAGTGGCAAGAAGCTGCATGGCACAGGACAGAGCAGAGTTTAAGGCTGTTATACGGTTGCTATGAGTCTCAAGCAACTGGACAGCACATAACAACAACAATGTAAGAAAGAATTTAAAAAAAAAAATCCAAACACACAAATTAGAGAGTTCTGGTGTGTAAATAACACAGTTTTATTATCAAAGAACAAAGTGTAGCGATTAAGATGAGTCTCCCTTTTTAAACCAAAGATGGTATTAGCAGGAATTGAAAGGTAGAATTGTTGGTGCAGCTACCATTCCACTCCAGGGAGCTCTGTGGAGTAGCTGACAGTGAGTTGTGCTGTTAAGCAAAGGCCACTTATCTCCAGTGACTGAAATTCACCAGCTGCACCTCCAACAAAGGTCATTATGAGTCAGAGCCAATTCAACACCGGTTAAGTTTTATTTATGTTTGAGCTACTAGTCTCTTTTTTTAATCCTTTCCAGTCAATCACTCATATCATTTTGGTTTTAGAACATTAATTACAATTGAACAATGCCATTCTTTACAACATCTTATCAAATCCTAGCTGTACCCTCCTTTCCCTTATCCATCCACCCATCCTCTAATCTTTGTTCCCTCTCCTTCCCCTCCCATCCCTGTCAACCCTCCATGATTGTTTCTGGGTGTAACCTTTCCTTTGCTTCTCCCTTCCCAATTCAACCAGTTTTGCATGTCTGTTCCAGATTGTTAATTGCAATATAGGATAGTCTCTTGTTGTAGAGTGGCTATCACTTTGCCTACAGCTGCCATTACCCTAGCTGGCTTCCAAAAGGATTCTTCTCTGCTGCTTAGAAGTCAAAATGTCCATGTTAGATGGAATTCTAGGAAAAAAGTAGTAAAGAACAAAACACCTTCTGGCCCTCTTTCTCAAATATAAGAATGCTCAACTTTGAGGGACTCTGAATTGGGAAGGAGAAACATAAAGCGGGAATGCAGACAGGCAAGAATCAAAAAATCAACAACAAGCTGCATTAGATAGGAAGGTCACTTCGCATTGTTTGTGCTCCTCCCTCAGCAACACTAGTTGCCAGCTACTGTGAACTTCTTCCCTAATCACCATAGTCCCTGCTTGGTCAAAGACCCCAAACCCTAAAATCAACAAGGTAGACATCCCTTACTCAGACACTGTCAGCTGCCAGCATACTGTGAATGCTATAGTTAACACTCTGCCTACCTCTTCATTCTCCCCATAGCTCATGTCTCTGAAGCCAAGTGGTTAGACATTCCTGGGGATCAGTCTGGGTCTATCTGTTTGCTGTCCCTACAGACATCACTAAGGACTACATACTAGGAAGTAGGCATCTAGATGGAAGGCTACATCCACAGCCAACATACTGTGGGATGTATACTGAGAGCAACAGAACAGACTTCCTTAAGTTTTTTCGGAGTGTGATTCCTCTCCTCTAACTGGTAAGTATAAGCTGCTGGGCTGGTATAACTCCATCAGAAGGTTCCCTCCAAGCCAAGGGGTGTGTTATCTAAGCTCACTCAGCCACCTCAGGGCACCAGGGATCTGAAATCAACATGACAGATGTCTCAGGTGTCTTTCTGGGGTGGGTTAGACCCTTTTCTTGTGGAATAAAAATAAAAGTCTATCTAGGCTTCCTCTGATTACCAGTTCAGATATAATAAGCTCCCACAGAGCAGAAAAGAAAACCTTGGACAAAGAAACTCAAAGGAGGCTCACTGGGTAATAGGAATTGAGGGATGTCCCCTAAAAATATGTGCTAACTTGGCTGAACCCTGGTTCTCAGTGGTATGGCAGTTATGTGATGATTTAATGCTGCCCTTGCTATGTGTCACTGAGTCAATTAAGACTCACAGCAACCCTGTGAACAACAGGTAGGAAATTTGCCCTGTCAAGCATCATCTTCACAATCTCCAGCATGCTTGAGAAGGTTGTTACAGTCACTGTGATGTGATATAGCAGTTATGCGAAGATAAAATTCCTCATGATGTGATCAGCCTTGATCTGGCATTAGGTGTCTTAGGGTGAGACCACAGAAGAGTTTCTCTGGAATGTAGTGTGCAATACAAGAGATAAAAGGAGACAAGAACAAACAGAGGAAGGGTGACTGACTACCACCAAGAAAGAAGAACTTGTCCTTTGGTCTTGCATTGAAGTCTTTCCTCTTCTAAAATGGGGAAGACCACAACACATTTTTTTTTTATTAATTTCAACGAACATTTACAGATTTTGATTTCCATTCATTCATTGTTTCACTTTTCTCCCTCACCCTCCGACCCCCTTCCCGAGTATACACCACTCTGCAACCCTCATTCTGAACTCTTATGATAATCATAATGCCCTAAAATATATTACTTTTAACCTATTCTCTCCCTCATTGGCTCCAGTGCAGTATATATAATTTATCCAGTTTTTATCAGTCTTAACCCCACCCTGATGTCAGCCTCATTCTACAAC